GTGTTGGAAGTAGCATCACCCACCAATCATTAAAATTCTGGACATTGTAGTTTCCTTACCCATATATCCTGCATACATTTCAGCATGCTTTTATTTGTGTAGCTCTTCAGAGTTACACAATGCTCAGCTACCCCTGAATACCTATGCAAATGCAGGCTGTTTGCTGCAAAAGACTCTGTTCTGCCCTGTGCCAGTATCACAGAATCACAAAATAGCTTGGGCTAGAAGGGACCTTAAATCTCATCTAGTTCCAATTTCCCATCTCTCACTAATCCCCATTGGTGGGAAAGTAGCAGTGGTCCCAAGAACTTGACGTCATTAATGTAATTCATCAAATACCTTAAAATTATTTTCATGTTATTAAATAACAACACAAATTGCCATTAGTAATAGGATGCTATTGTCTCAGACAGAATTAGTTTTCAAAGCAGCTCTATGAGATCATTATTCAACCTCTTTTAGAGACTGGGAAACAAAACTCAGGATCACTAACTAGTCTAAGATTACAGATCATGGTGTCAGCCAGATCCGGGGCTGCCTTTAAGAAACTAATCTTGATTTTAAAAGCAAGCCAAATACTTTCAGTCCAGGCACTCAAGTACCATAAGGAGGATCTGAAAGTTTACAAAAGCTAGACAAAACATGAACAAAATTTTAATGTATTTTTATATTTTGGGAGGTGGCATGTTCCCAAGGTTTTCTCCTATGACTATGAAGTTGAGACCTTACCTTTGCTCCTTCCCCTAAATGTATTAAGAAATACTGATGTAATCACATGATAAAGTCTTAAGAGAAAAACAAATACCTATGGAAAAAATAAAGAAATAACACAAACCAACAATATCAGGGCTGCCCTTTAGCAAGATTTACGCTGGCAACTAGAGTGCTAAGAAGATTTCAGTGACGACAGGGGAGTTAGTTCTGGTCCAAACCGAAGCATTTTTTAAGTGTGTCTATGAAGTTCTCAGTGCAAAGACTAAGAACACAACATTTTATGTAATGTACTGTAGAAGCAAAGTCTCATGGCTGTAAAAGAGTGTTACATCTACGAGCTGTGATTTCCTTTCGCTGCCAGTAATCTTCTAATTGTACATGTAACTGTCAATAATGACAGAGGCCAGAACATGAATACTCTGCATCCATTCCCATGTCGTGCTCTCAAAGGAAAACTTAATAGTTCGAAATTCTCTCTCTGCTTCTGCCTTCAATGAGACAGATTTTCAGCTGTTGCACATTGACATGCCCCTGTTAATATCAATTCACATGAACTGATAATTCAATCAAACCCCAAATAACTTATATCCTAAAATGGCAGTATGTTGTTCTAGACCTCCAAACCTCCCAGGAGCTGACAGGCCACCATAACAGCAAGGGTTATAAACTTGAATTTATTATAGACAAATAAGGCTTTGGCCTATGAATCCTCTTTGCCTATTAAGTTAATGAGGCTTGACAAAACAATCATCTGAGGAGTATCTGACAAATTATCTGGAGCAGCAATTTGAAAGGCGCTGGCTGGCTTACAAGCACTTCAATTGGGAGAACACAGCATCATGTTCCTTTTCCTCTGGAAAAGTTATCTGTCAGACCAAATTTCTTGCAGTTCAGCAGCAGATTCTCAATATTGGAGCACTGAAATATGACAATGACTGCAGTTACCAAAACAAGCAAATAATCCCTGTCCCATTCTCCCCAAACCTGAGGCTGCCAAATGCCAATGAAAGACTCTTTCTAGGAAGCCTGCAGGAAGACAGGCATATCATAGAATCACAGAATAGTTAGGGTTGGAAAGGAACTTAAGATCATCTAGTTCCAACCCCCCTGCCATGGGCAGGGACACCACACACTAAACCATGTCACCCAAGGCTCTGTCCAACCTGCCCTTGAACACCTCCAGGGTTGGAGCATTCACAACTTCCTTGGGCAACCTATTCCAGTGCCTCACCACCCTCACTGTGAAGAACTTCTTCCTTATATCTAACCTGAACTTCCCCTGTTTAAGTTTAAAGCCGTTATCCCTTGTCATAGAATCATAGAATCATAGAACACTTAGGGTTGGAAAGGACCTTAAGACCATCTGGTTCCGACCCCCCTGCCATGAGCAGGGACACCACACACTAAACTATGTTGCCCAAGGCTCTGTCCAGCCTGGCCTTGAACGCCTCCATGGTTGGAGCATTCACAACTTCCTTGGACAAGCTATTCCAGTGCCTCACCACCCTCACTGTGAAGAACTTCTTCCTTAGATCTAACCTAAAGTTCCCCTGTTTAAGTTTAAAGCCATTACCCCTTGTCCTACCACTAGAGACCCTAATGAAGAGTCCCTCCCCAGCATCCTTGTAGGCCCCCTTCAGATATTGGAAGGCTGCTCTGAGATATCTTTTTATATGTGACTGGAGACCACGGAAGTGTATAATGTGGAGGCATAAGGCTTTGAGGAATTCAGGTGGGTAAAAGGAAACCTTTCAAAATGCCTGATCAATATTTGGAAGACATCTTCCGTGATACAACTTCAAATAGAGATGGCAGTAATCACACCTGTGGATTTAGAACAAGGTCTTTTTATGGATTAATTCTTGCAAATATTTGACACAATACACCCCTGAGACATCACCTTTGTGAAATTTAGGGCTGCATACAATGAACATTTCTGCAAGAATAACCACCTGGATTAGCATTAAAATGGGATTAATACTTTTCTAAAACCTATTCTCCAACTGTGAACACCGAGTCCATTTGGAAATCAAATCATGGTATATGCTGTAAAGCTGTCACTTCCCTGACCGAAGGCATTTGCTGAAGTATTATGGTGAATTATTGAAAGAGTCCTGTGGAAATGATGACAGTGTTTGAGAACATCGAAAACTGTCATATTTTCCATCTGAATACTATTTCACAGTGGGAAGGAAGCATAAATTGTAGCAATCAGTACCCTCTACCACAGCATGTAGTAGAGCACAGTACAGAGCATTTAACCATGCGTGAGTTGTGCCTTTTCTTTTGTGTTCTTTTGTTGGACTGTTGAAATAAACAAACTGATTAAATATACAGGGACCGGAGCTTAATTTTACATCATAGTAGAATGAAGAGAAATGAAACCTCACTCTTAAAGAGAACTATTAATTGACACTCAGTAAAACAAAGCCCAGCTTTTTAAGTCCTGATGTCAGGTCATCAAATATCTGATGACCAAGAATCCAATCAATCACACAATAAAGCAAAAGGCTGTAGAGAATTATACCTTCAGGTGGCAAAATGGCCTAGTTCTATGAGCTCTCCAGGGCTCCACTGATTATTGGCATCTGCGTATCTGATCTGCAGGAAATAGCCTTATTAGATTCACCCTTTCCCCCCCAGCCTATCTCCATTGTCCTGACAGTCAAGTCTATAGAGATCAACCATTTAGCAATGAATTGTGTCTCTCTACATTTAGCATGCCACAGCGTAATCCTAAGTGCTCACAATACACAATTTCAAGGTCCCAAAATCCCCTATGAACCTGCTTTCTAGTTCAAGTTGGTCCCTTCCTTTCTAAAGGGACCATTTTAAAAGTCTTCTTATAATGACCCCTTATGCTGTCTGGCTTTAAACACACAGCAGCACTCTGATGCTTACAGATAAATTACTCATATGGAAACTGGACCTGAAGACCTGAAGTAATTTTACTAATCTTTGCTTATTTATTTCCTTTAAGATAATATTTGCAGAGAAATTGAAATATTGTGGGTAGATGTCAGTGCCCAGCACCTCTCTGGAGTTATTTATACCTTTATAAACCCTTGTCCTTACCAGTGTTTTCACCCAAACTTGCACTGGCCTGAACAGCTTGACTAATCCCTTTGTCCAGTGATTAAGCATCTGTTTACAAATTCTAGAAGCTACACAGTTTTCATTCTAATCAACAAACAGCTTCTCCATGGTCTTAGCACATCTGTCGCATTCACTAGTACTTGTCTTACTGCTTTTTTAATTTAGCTTTCTATTTCATAGCACTGCAAAGCACTTTGCAGCTGTTTTCTAATCCCTGGGGTTTCTTTCCTGTTAGTGTATCTTACGTTAATTTACCATTTTACCTTCCACTTACACGCTTCTGCTCTTACTCTTCCCACATTACTCTTTTCTTTGATAACTGTTTTCTGTAGAAAATGCCTATGATCAAAGCTCCAAATACAATTATTTTTCTTCCACTCTAGAATACAAAGGTTGACAGTATTTTTCCTGACAAAGGAAGCACTCAACATCTTGAAAACGTGTACCCTACTCTTCCTCTATCTCCCAAGTCTTGCTTGCAAATAGTTTACTACTATCCCAGTAGATTACAGAAGAATAGCTGGGTTATACTAGGTACATTTTTGGAGGGTATGTTTTTCTTTATTAAATATTTCTCAAGAGGCAGTCATTGACAGTATTTTATAGAAATGTCTTCCATTACTTCAGTTATGGAAATGCTATCACTTTAGGTTTTACTAACTGCCCTCTCAGAGCACAGCTAGCCTAGGGAATGCTAAATTTTAGATATATTCTCAACCACAGGTTGGTGAGGGAGGTGATTATTTTTTCCTCAATTGCTTCTGAAAGGCTTAGGCAGCCACCCTATAAACCCAAAGATGCTCAGTGATCAAAGTATGCACCACACAGAGATAAAATGACTGAATCAAACTGAATTGCTACAGCTTTCAGTGAAGCTTTAGTCTCTTTTCATTCTCACACAGAAAAAATAGTGAATTCAGTTGTAAAATGTGATACATATCATGTAACCTATTTTAGAGCACCATTCCAATGGATCAAAACATTGCTTGTGTTCATCACTGGATTTTGGATGACCAAAATCATACATATTGCAGTAGCACGTATCTTCCAGTGGTGCAAATGTGAAAGCATGGTTAAAAACAAGCATAAGCTGTAGAAAAAGATCTATGGTGAAGATGCAAACTATGAGATAAATCCAGTGATGTTCATGCACTCTAACGAAGGAGGTGAGGAAGAAGCGCATGCAGTACCTGGTGATCTCAGAGTCAGGGAGCAGGCCTACGTGGTAGTGGGGATAGGGAGCTGTAAGAAGGAAGCTTTTGTCACACTCGACAGGGGAATAGTGCCTAGGAGAAGGTGGTTTATCACACAGTTTGTTCACAGTGCTGTAAACAGGTTCAGGAGGCCTGGTGATACAGAGACAAGAGTAAAAGATCAGGTGTGCATTAGTGGCTGAGAATACAGAGAAAACACAGCAATCATTTTAAAAGCATGCATAGCAATTCTGTCAAGACCTTTTCAGTAGGGCTTTTCTGACAAGTAAAGTGTGCTGTTAAAGGAAACATTTGATACCATAGTATTACGGCATACAAGCAACTGCATATAATGATATACACAATATAAGTGGGCCATAAAACCGGCTTACAGGAAGTGTGGCACTGAAGGGAACATCTTATCTCTGAAGCTCAGTTACGAATTTTCCCACATACTCTCTTTAAAAAGATATACATAAAAAATCTAACAATATCACTTCTGCACAGCTTTCTGTGACCTTAATTTTGAGCACTGCATTGAAGAAAATGTTCATTATCTGAAAAGATGTATTTTTTACCCATTAAGATGAAGCACATATTACTTGTTAATACAACATACTCCTGCCCCGATGAGCTGGGACTTTGCAAGTAGAGTTGTGGTCAAAGTGAGCCATACCCTATAATAACACTGATGGTAACGAACCATGTAAGCAATTCATCTCATTGGCAGGCAATTCATTTCATTCCAAGAGTTTCTGGCTCTCTTTTCAGATTCAGCCTTCGAAATCTGATTATGCAGACCACATCTGAAGATGGTAACCTCGTTGACAAGGCTACTGCAGTTGTTCTTGCACTGCTGCTCCAAATTACAGACAGCAGTCTGCAGTGCTAGATACGAAGGATAAGACCCTAACGCTGACACTGACAGGTCTGCTAGCACTTCTCTCCTGATGCCCAGAGCAATACTTACCACAAACCTCCCTGGGGAGAGGGGAGAAGGGGATGCAGCCTTTAATACCCACCAGCCAGGGATCCACAGGAGAAAACCAGCACAGTTTTTAAAAGAAAAAAGCACCATAGAGGACATTTCCCATCATACAACTTCTCCAACTACAGCACTGGCCCCAGCGGATACCTCTGGGACTACTGGCAGAGTGAAACTTGACTCATAATTTCCTGACGTTTCTGTTCTAAAGAGTGCCAAGACGCAACTGCTGTCATATCCTCGCTCCTGCCAGAAGATCCAGGATATGCCACTGCCTTTAATCACAGTGATGCAGTAGCAGCAAGATGAAAATCTTATTTCAGAAGCCTGAAAATATCAAGAGGCCAAGCAGTTAATGAACTCTTTTTGTTCTTCTGGCTGCACTGTGCCTCACATGGGTGTGGGTTTTGCTGTGACTTTCACAGGTACCAGAAGTTATTACAATCGTGGATGCACTGGCAGATACAGAGAACATATTTTCCTTTGTTGTTAGCTTCTGGTTTTGTCCTTTGGAGGAAAAGGAGTAGCTGCTTTACTTAAAACTTGGTCTCACTCAATGCTAATAACATTATTCATTGCAATCTGACATACGATTTGAGAACTCTTTGTGCCTGCCTTTCCCAGTGAAAACTTCAGAGTTATAAAAATGGCACTTTAAGATTAACAAATATCAAAATAGCAAAGCTGTCACTCGTTTCGTTATAAAGCATTCTGTCAAGCATTTAGTAAAATCCCTTTACAAATGTTCAAGGTAGCAATTCTTTTTTATCAGCATATTTCACACTTGTTACAGAGGGTTGGATTTAATAATTTATTTACTAAATCAATTGCTGCTTTCCATACAAAAAATCCAGAGGAAAAACACTTCTATTATTGTATTTCAGACCAATACTGTCTTTCATTCCCTTTTGCTTTTAGGCAGTGTATTAAAGAACAGTACAAATATCAAATATAAATGATACCTGCTGTGAAAATTGAAGTGTTGCCACAGTGCAGAATGATGAATAAAAACTGTAGACTTCTCCATGAGTTAACACACTAACCAGTCCATAAACCACTTGCTGGCTTCCTATATTCAAGTTACTTGTCTTCTCTGAGTGGTAGACAATGTGAGTGTTGCTACCCTTTGGATATATCATAAATGCCCAAACTTCACTGAGTCATCAGTGAGTGACCATCCAACCTTGTGCTGAGACACAAATCATGCCACAGAGATGGACAGATACGAGTGTTTGCTTTGTTAACTGAGAGTTACAAACTGCTTCCAAAAGCAAAACAAAGGTAAACACTCAACATCTACCTAGATACTGAGACCAAATTTGCCCTTCTAATATAAACATGGGATCCCTAACAAAATGTCTTGTGAAGTCCACCAGGTTTAAAAACATTTTGCATTTTTCACTCTTTTCAATCTTGCCGGATGGGAAGACAACAGAAAACCGGAACAAGTCACCACATTGTTGTATAAAGCCCTCTACTCATTGCTATTATGTGATACTGTGACCTAGCTAACACCATACCCTCTCTAATTCAGCAGAAGAGAGAGGTCTTTAGGTTAAGAAAAGGAATTCAAACTTCTTATCCCTTTAAAGCTTGGATTCTGCTTAGCATAGGATTCAGAGTATTGGCTAATTCCAGTTATGAGTGCACTCCTTGTAACGTCTATGAACTGGTCTGAGATCATCATAGGAACTTATTTACCATCAGATGCCATTCTTCAAGGTCATTAAGACCATGGACTGAACTGGTTCTTTAGATACCTTCATACTACTCAGAGGCACATGCTAATAGCTGGAGTTGCATGGCTGCGCCTTGGCTGTGCATTTTATTGGCAAGCAAAACAAGAACTTGAAAAATAAGCAGTATGTAACATCAAGGGTCCAGCTCAGATCAGTATAAACTTATTTCTCTCCCAATTAGATTTAATAAATATAAATCAAATAATGTCAAAATATTCACTGGGCACATCACTGTCCTGCTCATACAAACTGTGCTTCACGTAGGCCAGTAATCCTTAAAAGTAATATGATATACTTGCTGCAACAGACTATGTTCAAATATCCTCCTGACTCTTCACCTTCCCTATGTCAAACTAGGAGGTACCTACTTTTGAAAACATCCCCTTATATTCCCCCCCCCCAAAAAAAGATAACTAAGAAGACCACCAAGCTTTATTAAATGATTCTTCTAGTGCAGCATTTTCTCTTGTTACTTACATTTCTCCTCACTAGAAGATAGTCATAAACTATTTTTCCAGCCCCCCAAAAAAATTGAAAGCTGGACCTGTCAATCAGTATAGACCAAATTGCAATGAGGCATGATTTCCACAGAAAGATATAACTAATTGGTGGAAAAGCTAACCATAACAGTGGGAGGTAGAACATTGATCTGACAATGGCCTTCTTTATTTATTTCATAACAGATTGTTTAAAGAAAACAAATCTTCCTGGTTGCTTGTGGGCCTTATTATTCCTTGTTTGGGTCATTGTGTTACTGTTTCAGGCTGGCTTTATTGCACAACAGAAGTTGTAAGAAAATGGCATTCTCTCCTTAGCGTAATGCAGCGTCTTCAGTTTCATTTTAACTTTTTTTATTGCAGAATCCTGTTTGGCAGCATTCAGTTGCCAACACACAGTGTAATAACTGGTAACAGTTTAATTTTAAAAAACATTTTAAAAGCTTTTATGATATATAAAGAAACCAGCTAAGATCTCACAGCATATTGAGTATTCAGTGCCATAGCCAGGGAATGCGAAATTCAATTTGAGAGAGAATAACTCCCACAATGCTACAAGTTTCCAACTTCTTTTTTTTTAGTAGCAATTTTTAATTGTACCCAAGTTCAGTTAAGACAACTAATACATTAGCATTGCTAATATAATGTTGCTGGAAAGTGTGCAAAGAACTGTCTTTAAAAGTATAGCACTATTAAAACAAAAATCAATAGCATTTTAACACAAACGAACTTTTCCACTTCTCCAGGTGGGTGACATGGTCTAGTGTGAGGTGTCCCTGCTCAGGGCAGGGGGGTTGGAACTAGATGATCTTAAAAGCCTTTTCCAACCCAAACCATTCTATGAGTCTATGATCCTATCTTAAGGTTTTTTCCAATCCTAACTATTCTATGAATCTATCCTATGATTCTAATACCCAGTAATTTTTATATGTCTTTTAGTTTCTTGTTCATAATCTTCTAGGAGAACAACATACCTTCTTGTTCAATAGATTTATTTAGAACTGAAAGTTGATCATATTTCATAGGTTGTGTCCTGGTAATGCAAATAAGACCCAATCATTTATACAACATGTTTCTTTCCATTAAATGGAAGACAGGGAAAGGGTGTGGAGAGCTGGAAGAAAACACCCAAAGTGCACTACCTTAGTTCTTTCTGGAAATCCTTCTATAATCAGTGATTTCTCAGCTTTTCCATTATTAGCTGCTATTTTCATGAGCCTTAAAGTTTTCCATAACTGCAAAACAAGTACTTAGATCATGGCAATTCTTTTTAGCACAGTAATAAAGAGTAAGAATTGCTTTGTTCCTCTTAACCATACCATTTAAACATTTTAATACGGTTTTCAGATGAAATGGTCTACAAGAAGGCGTAAGTATAATTTAAACTTTTAATATTGTACACCCAATTCTATACTCATTATTCTTAAAACATTAAGAATAAGGAAATGAAATGGCTGCTTAATTTGAAAAAAATCAGTAATGATGTTCTTTTGCAGTAATGGAAAAGAAGGTTGTTTCAGTTAGGAACGCGGAGACTATCAGACCAAAGGCTCTAGTCGCTTGCAGTGATTTTTTAGGAAACAGGGCCAATAAAGAATGGCCCTTCCCTGCTCAGCCACTGAAAATCAGCAAGGACCATAGAAACCAGAAACTAAATCCAAGCAAACTGTGGTCAGTAGGTCTATCCACCATGAACCTGAGCACTTATCCTCATCCATAGTTGAACATTTTTCTATTCTTAGGCTTCACAACACCCTGGGGCAAGGAGTCCCACAAACCAATCATGCGACATACCCAAACACCTCTAACTTTGTGTATTGTGTGTTCTTTGGTTGCACATTGATAACATATGGTAACATCTCAAAACCTTCAATTTTCTGTACTTTAAACTTGGCAATGCACTGTAAACTCCCTGTATCTTACTTGTAAGAA